CAAAGTGAGATTCTAAATCTACTGGATTAGTTATATGTCAGAACTGATACATAATTTAGGTGCTTTGATAAATTGATTAAAATCTCTCATTTAGGATAATTCTTCCAACCACTGGTTCATAGTTGTTACAAACATTTTTTTTTTTTTAAATAAAGCTGGAGTGGGCATGGTACATTCCTGTAATCCCAGAACCCTGAGAGGTTGAGGCAAAAGGATTGCAAATCCCAGCCCAGCCTGAGCAATTTAAATTTAGCACCTTAGTGAGACCCTATTGTAAAATTTAGGCGAATCGGACACGATCAGGGTAGTATGGCAGGAGACCTATCACAAAATTTGAAATGATCTGGGGATGTAGTTCAATGTTATGGCCCTACGTTCAATCCCTGGGATTGCATAAAATTATACATAAATACATAAGTAAAACCTCAACAGGTACATTCAAACTGTGATTTCCACTTTAGAACTTGATGAAGTTGACAGGTGTTTGGTTAAATTAAGGTCTGTGAATTTGTTACTGTCTGTAAATGCTTATAAATAGCAGCATCATGTTTTGTAAGGGGTAATTTTAACTTTAACTCTGGTTTTCACCAATGAAGATAAATAGAGTTTGTTTCTGTCTGGCCATGTAGATTGATACATGGGAACAAAGAGCTTCATTTATGTTGAGTAAGACTTTTTATAAGTGAGGGGAAAATAACATGTTCATGTTTTGATATGAATTTTAATACTAATTCATGAACTATGACAAGACTTATTTTTTTCAAGAAGAAATTTTCTAAGACTCATAGGGCGTCAGAAGTAAACATATCAAGCTGGGGCCGGTCCTGGTGGCGCATACTTGTAATCCCAGTGCTCTGGGAGACTGGTGCAGGAGTACTCTATGGAAAATAAAACAAGTTCCATCGTGTTCAAAACAAATATTGGTGAATAATAAACTAAGCATTTTAACAGAGTTTTTATAATTCTGATAATTCATCATAACTTTTTAAGAATATGAGCTTTAAGGCGTCCAAGAAAACAGCCGAGTGGTGAACAGCAAAGAAAGAACCTATCCAAGATTGGTGTCTAGACTCTGGAATACAGCAATGTGGAGAAGAGAAGTAGGAGAGAAGGGGGTCCCCAGGACTCAGGAAGGATATGAAGCCAGATTTGGAGCCCAAGGGGAAAACGAAAAGAGAGACTTCAACAAAGAAGAAAGATGGCAGATAGCAGCTTCTCCCTGAGCTCTGACTCGTTTTGTGGGACAGGCACCTGGAACCTGCACATGCACAGTGACTACTAGTGACCACAGAGGCCTCCATGGAAAAACCAGTGGAACTGAGCAGTGTTTGCAGCAGACTGCAGTGGTTGGTGAATTATTCTGGTTTAGAGATCCCCTGGAGAGTGCAGCTGGCTGGTAGCCATCTCGGAGAGGTGCCAGCTAAGCTCAGAACTAAGAGCAGCTGTGGACTGGCTTCGTGTAGCAGCTCCCAGTGTCAGGGTGTGGTGGAACCAAGTTCAACTCTGCGGGAAGTCACGGACTCCAGTTCAAATTGGCAGGGAGCCAGGGTCTAGCCAGCAGGAGGCAGAGTGTTGCAGGCTGAACAAACTGGGTTCCAGCCTCACAGCCAGAAACCAGCCTGAGTGTCAGTGAAACTAATGGTTGGATTAATCAACACAGATCTGGACTCTGTCTGCCTACTTTACCAGTGATGGCAGAGACAAGCCTTCAAGTAGACATTGTTTCCTTATTTTCATTTTTTCCCTCTTGTTTTTGTTTTCTAATTTTTCTTAATCTTGTTTTTATATGTGAAAAATATTTCTACCTCTTTTGCTGTTCCGTTTTTGTTTTTGTTTTGTTTTGTTTTTTTAAACAAGGTCTCACAATGTAGTTCAGGCTGGCCTTGAACTCCGTGATCCTCCTGGCTCAGCCTCTTTAGGACTGGGATTACAGACTTGCCCTGCCATGCCCAGTTCTGTACTTGTCTGTCCCCTCCTTTTCTTTCCCTCCCATCTTCTTCACCAGTTTCCCAAAATTTATGTAATATTCATTTGTCCTCCAGCCTTGCTTATAATCTCTTCCTCATGTTTTATTTCTTTATTTTTCCCCCAAACTCCTTTTAAAATTTTTTTCTCCCATGAGGGTAAAAATCACCATCCTCAAGCCATATTTACTGTATGCAATTTTCTGTTTTGTTATATAACCATAAATCTGGTTTATGGGGTCGAAGATTACAAATTAATAGTTACTACACTTTGTCATTTTCTAAGTTTTGATGCTATTTCTAAGCTGTTTGATGCTATTGTTTTGTTGATTGTACTACTTTAGCCAAGGTGACATTCTAGTCACTTGCTCTTCCTGGAATGCCTGGATGAGACTGCATAAGTGTCCTAGAAAATACTGTAGGCCAATGCCAAAGAACCAGGGTCTAGGGCAAATAGGCAGCAATTTCTCATCCCCAGTAAATTGAAGAGATAGGATCTTGGCAATAGACTCAAAACCCAAAAGGCAGATATCCTTGGAAGACATTTCTTGAGAAGTAGTCATCTTCTAAGATCTCTAAGTACTAGCAATAAAACTGTTTGCCATAAGCAATTTATAAGCATCAACCCAAGAATTAAACTTTAAAAAAATAGAAATGCGAAGCAAGATGCAGTCCCAGACTTTCAGCTCACCAAAAGCAAGCCCAGGGCAATTAGGCAGAACAATTCAAAAGCCACCCATTTAGACTCTCTGAAGTGGTAATAGCAGAAGTAACAACAGGGTGAGTGAAGCTCTAGAAAAACTCAAATCAGAAATAATTTCTCAGACAATTTCAGAGATGGTGACTATAATGAAAAATATTCTTAGTGATTCTAGAGCAGAGACAGATAAAAATAGAAGAATGAATGTCCACCATGAATCTATACTGATTAAATATCTGAGCTAATCACAATGTAGGTTTCTTTTTGGGGGGGGTACTGGGGATCAAACTCACGATCTCATACTTACCAGACTGCTGAGCTAAAACTCCAGCCCTACAGTGTAGGTTTCTATTTCTGTTATTTAGGACCTTTTTTTTGGTCTTTTTCCTTTTTAGTACCGGGGATCGAACTCACGACTGCCTGCTTACAAGACAGGTGCTTATGCCGCTAGCTAAATCCCCAGCCCCTAGGACCTTTTTTTTTTTTTTTTTTTTTTTTTTAAAACCTCCTTTTTGAAAAGATTCACCAATCCTGTCCTTTTTTTTCTTACCTCTGCAGGTCCTTCCTTTCTGGTAATAGTCCATAAGGGTTTTATTTAAATTCCTTTAACTGAAAATGAGCATTACAAATTTCAGCCTTACCTAGATGTAGTGGTACAAACCTGTTATCCCTGGACTTGGGATACTGAGGGAAAAAGATTGCAAGTTTGAGCGCATGCTGGACAATTTAGTAAGTAAGTGAGACCCTGTCTTAAAATTTAAAATGGCCTTTGAATGTAGCTCAGAGGGAAGGTCCTAGGTTCATTTGCCAGTTCTGCATGCATATGCAGGCACGCACATATATACACACACATTTCAGCTTTTTTTTTTTTTTACATCGTAGAATAATATTTTGGTAGCAGTTTGAGAACAGTTTAATCAAGAGAAGAACAGCATGTGGGCAAGTGGCTTTGTTATAGTCAACATGAGATTCAATAAATATCCTGGGCTTATTATTATGAGAAAAAAGAGGAAGAAAATATTGCGTTTTTTTCTTTGTAGTTTTCTGTGAAAAGTTCTTACTGCCACATTGTCTGTTTTGGTTCTGTTACCATGTGATTAGAATATTAGAGAATCACTGATATTTTTTATAAATACTGTTCCTACAATATCACAAGCTGTCTCACTGGGTCATGTATATCCAGAGTCCAACTGACATAAAATCTATAGAAGAGAGTTCTCTAAAATATAAGTAATCACTGTAGATTTTAAACAGAAGTAGAACATTTGGAATTTTAGAGCTAAAGACACTGCTGAATATAAGTGGGACAGTACTGTACCTAAGTCAGCCCTGTGCTCCAGAAGTTAAGAGCTACTAAAAAGGGTTATATAGTGAGTTCAAGGCAGCCTGAACTGCCTAGTAAGACTCTGTCTCAAAAAAACAAAAAAGAGCTACTAAAAAAGGAGACTACATCAACTATTATAATGAAATCTAGCATAATATAATATAATATTATAACGAAATCCAGCCACATAAAGAGGTTAGAGAAAACTACTTTGACTTCAGGCTTATGTTGTATAGAAAGATGTAGATTTTGTTAGGATAGAACATAAATGAGCATAAATCAAAGAAATAGCATTTGAAATCTGTAACTGATTAGAAAGGTGTAGAATATTTAGGAGATGAAAATGGACCAGTGTTGCCAGAGTGGTAGATACACTTTGAAATGCCAAAGAAGTCAGAACTTGGGGCCCACTATAGAGGAAGGGAAGCTAGGTTGTGGGACAGACATTGTATTACTAAGAAAGGCCTAGCCAAGGCCAACTATCTGAGGGCAGAAAGTTGAGGGGAATTGGAACTAATACTGAGATTTCAAAGAAAGGTGAATTATAATAGATTAGATTAAATGTTTAAAATGTACGTTTTAGGTGCTATAGATCAAACGTTTGTTCATGACTTTTCAAAAGTTTGCATTACTTCCTTTTACTATGTGTTGCTGGCTGTTAATTCTGACATCTGAATTCCACCACTCTCTTGGTATCCAGTCAAGTAGTTTTGATGTTATCAAACCAGAGTTTTTGAAGAAAAGCTTAACTTCTTTACCTACTTCATGGGCTATCACCTTTATGTTCCTCTTCAGCACTCTAAGTCTGTAGTAATGTTGTGTTTGCTAATAGTACCAATAAGATGTCAGCACAATTTGAACTTAATGAAGACAACAACTTATGATTTCTAGGCCTTTTTTCATTGGATTAATTTTGTTTGAAAGTTTTATGGTTAACAAGTATAGTTGTTTTAAAGTATTCTACCATAATGGCTATTTATTCTGATGCAGGTGTTTTCTTTATTTTCCTCAGATGATGCATCTTTAATACAAGAGAAGATACTGAGTGCAGCCATATATGCTGTTGGCGATGAAGAGACTGCTGAAGTCAATGCTAATGATCAGCCAGAAGCCCCAAAGCAGGCTCTGCAGTCTCTGTTCTCACTTATACGAGGTGAAGTTGAGCAGTTGGATTCAAGGGCACTACCCCTCTGCCTTCATCAGGTACTACCTTAAACCCTTCATTTCCAGCCTCACTAAAATCAGTATTTGGAATCATCTAAAATCATCTAAACTCCAGTAAACAATCCTGAAACTGTTCTATCCCATCCCTTGTTGGTGAGCCCAGGAAAAGATGACCCGGGATCAGTGGCTGTGGGAAATTTGACATAGTACTAAATTGATGGCCACATCTTTCCCTTAGAGAATCAGCAGTTTGGACAAGAAATAGCTAATTTCTTTTCTTCAATGCACAGATAGGAGTCAGAGTAGCAAGAGCTTAGTAAGCACCAACTAAGTGCCAAAACCAAAGCTAGACACTGAAGAAACAAAAATAGTGAACAGGGTATGTCCTTAAGACAGTCACTGTGGAGCAGGAAAAACCATGCTATCAATACATGAGTGTAGAATTCTGTAGGAAGTGTCAGTGGCAACATCTGTTAGGGTTCAGCAGCATGAAATGGAAGATTAACTTTGTACCATAGGTTCATGGGTTGTACACAGTAGCTAGATATCTACCACATGACACAGGGAGCCAGGACCTAAACAGATGTAGTCTGGAAGGTCACTGCTGGAGATAAGGTGGAAAAAGAGACAAATGTAAGATTCCATAACTGATGACCTTAAGGCCTTAGTTTAAGCAGCTGGAAATTCTAATAACGAGAATTCTTCTGAATGAAAATTTTTTTAAAATTCTGGGCAATCCCTCTATCATGAGCTATACCCCCAAATTGGGTTTCTCAGAACCCAATTTGAATTTTAGAAAGTTCTTCCAGCTGAGTGTGATGATACATGCCATTAATGCTAGTGTTCTGGGAATCAGAGGCAGGAGGATTGCTGGTTTAAGCCTAGCCCTGGGCAACTTAGCGACTGAGACCCTGACCCTGTCTAAAATGAGTGTATGTATGTATAAAATATATATGTATGTATGTCTGGGAGATGGAGCTTAGTGCCCAAGATAAAAAAAAAAAAAAAAAAGCCTAACTTCTAACTTTCAGTGAGTGGAAGGAATGGAAGGTGATGAGCCTGGTGCCCGGAGAGTGGGAGGCCTTTAGTTCCTTGAACAGCCTTTTTGCGTAAGAGCTAACTCAATAACAATTGAAGCATTCGTAAGCTGCATTTTATTTTCACTTAAAAATAAGATACTTAAGAATAAAGATCAACTTTTTATCTCACCCACTTTCTGTTTTAATTTTTGCAACAGTGAGTAATTTTTAAAAAACAAAATAACAACAATATGTGATCCAAGGCAGGAAAATATATAATTTTACAAATTTACATTACCTCCTTGGTGGACTTAAGAATTGTCTTTGAGGAGCTGGGGATTTAGCTCAGCGGCATAAGTGCCTGCCTTGCAAGCAAGCAGTAGTGAGTTCGATCCCTGGTACCGATAAAAAGGAAAAAAGACAAAAAAGAAAATGAAAAAAAAAAAAAAAAAAAAAAAGAATTGTCTTTGAAAAAATGTATAGTGCTATAAGGTGCTAGCCTGCCATAGTTTAGGAGCATCAACACCCAGGCAGCCTTCTAATCTGTCAGCCTTTGTAGGAGTTGCACAGTGGCTTGGGTTTGCAAAGGGTATTTACTGTTATTGCTATTTTGTCCTCCAAATGACCTAGAGAAGTCAGTGTTATCATCTGCTCACAAATGGGGCAACTGACACACCCTCAAAAGCACTTTCTCATACATAGGTAATAGAATCTGTGTCATTGAATACATCTGTTTTTGGACCAATCTGGGAGACATTCAAGGGTGGGCTACATATTAAATAATATTGCCCTATCAAGGTTTTTCTTGAAGGGGCATTGTAGGTTATATCATGCAGATGAGTGTCTCCATTTTTTCTTTTTTTCTTTTTCCCTCAGATGGAATCTGATTATATAGTTCAGGCTGGCCTTGAGCTCATGGCAGTCCTACCCCAGCCTCCCAAGTGGTGGGATTATAAGCATGTGCCACCTTGCCTAGCTGTACCATATTTTAAAGCAAAATTCTACCTTTATTTCTCAGAAACATGTATCAGTGTACTGAGTCCTGTATGTTATGATTTCTATGTAACTCAACAATATATCCTCTCCTGAGAAAGCTCAGAGAATATAATAATGGTCTAAAAAGCCTAGACTTTGATTAGAGATAGGCAGCTTTTGGTTTGTTTCTGCTGTGATGCTGTAGAGGATTAAGTGAGGTAATGCATGTAAAATCACTTCCCATAGTGTTTGGTACACAGTAAAAGCCAAACAAATACTAGACAGCCAACAATGTCCTCACTATCACTAATTCACAGATTGCTTGTTAGAAATCAAGACTGGCTGGCCAGGCATGGTGGTGCACAGCATAATCCCAGCATTTAGGGACTGAGGCAGGAGGATCACTTTGAGTTCAAGGCCAGGCTAGGCTGCATAGTGAGTTCTAGGCCATTTTGAATCACATAAGGAAACCCTGTCTCAAAAAACAGACAAACAAATAAAAGATACCAAGATTGGATACTAGTGAAGGATCACTCAAGACTTCCAGACACTAAGATATCAGGTGACAGGAGTCAGCTGATGGCTGCCTCCTCAGCACAGAAATGCAGAGTGGCCTATCACCTGCCAAGGGCCACATAAATCAGGGAGCAGTGGAGGTACATTTCATCCATTTGACATCCTAGTGTATCATGTTGTGCCTTTTACCTAGATTCACCAGTTGACATTTTATCAGATTCTTGTGTTCTGTCTTTTGCCATCTTGATCACATGCACACATATTTAACCAACACCCACACGCACTTTTTTTCACTAAAATATCTTAAAGTACTCTGCAAGCATTATATCACTTTACCTTTAAATATTTGTACACATTTGTCTCAAGAAAAGGGATAGTTTTTATAACCAGCAGAGCCATTAGCAAGCCTAAGAAATTAGACATTGATGCAGTAATATTATTTAATATTCAGCTGCTTTCAAATTTCTTTCATGTTGTTTCACATATCCTGTTACAGCTGTGTACTGTCTGGCCTAGGATCCAGTGAAAAGAGACAGCCTGCGCTTGATTATGAAGATTCTTTCGTCTCCGTAATCCAGAACAATCTGCTGTGTTTGGCCTTTTGCTCTTTTTAGCTTTCATAGTGTACATATGAAGAGGCTAAGGATTCTTCTAGAATGTCCCTTAATTAGAATTTTTCTGATGATTTCTTCATCGTTTTTTCAGGTTAAAACATTTTAGATAAGAATTGTACTTTATATTCCATGCTACCTCTCCCTCGACCTCACTCTAACCTGGCTTCTGTCCCTGCTACTTGACAAAAATTTCATTATGAAGGTTACCAGTAATCTCTGTGTGTCAATCCAGTGGTTAGTGCTCAGCTCAGTTTACGTCTTGCTAAAGTTATTAGACACTTTGACCAATGGATCACATAATCTTTTTTGAAGCATTTTCCCTTTGTTGTCTTGTTGTTGCTCCTGGGGTTTGAACCTTATGTCACATGATTAACTTTTGAGCTACATGACCAGCTGCTTGGAATCAAATCCTTTCCTTTCTCTTTCTTTGTGGTACTGAGAATTAAAGCCACTGCTTTGCATGTGGTAGGCAAGCACTCTGCTGCTGAGCCACTTGTCCAACTTTTTTTATTTTAAGACAAGATCTTGTTAAGTTGCCCAAGCTGGTGTTCTCAAACTGGTGATCTTCCTGCTTCAGCCTCCTGAATAGCTACAATTACAGCCATGCATGGCTGATATATTTTTTGATTTACTTTTTAAGGGACCGCTCATTCTTGGTGTTTATCTCCTCACTGGCTGAGCCTTCTCAGGCACATCTGCTGAGTTATTGAATTTCACTAATTTTCTCAACATTGAATGCTTGAGGGTTCAATTTTTAAATTTCTTCTCATTCTACTCTAACTTTGTAGGTGATTTCATCTGATATGTTTCATCCAGTTTTTTCCCCTGGACTCGACCCTTAAGTATCCAGGGCATTTCAAATTTAAGATGTACAAAATGGAACCTTGGTTTTTCTCACAGATGTGTTGCTTTCCTACTCCTCTTTTGTTAAGTGCCAACCCCATAACTGTAGTTGCTGAGGCCAGAAACTTTGCCCAGTTCAAAGAATTTTTAAATTTAAAGGTACGTTAGAATGAATCTCCTGAGACAGGCCTTTGCTAGGATGAGTTCATGAATCTCTAGTCTCAGTCTGGTGTCCTTTATCATCTGCAGCTCTCCGCATATTCCAGTCATCATTATTCAGCTATTAGCGTTTGGCCTGATCAGTTTTTAAAATATGAAACAACCAAAGAGCCAGTGTCTCATGGGTATTTGGCTGGTAGCTCATAAACAAGGAATGAAGCGAAGGGTATGTAGAGGTCTTAAATGCCATGACGTACTTCTGCTTTCTTGATTCACAAATAAGAGAATAATCTCTTTACTCATGTTGTACTGTTGTAATCCTCTGTAGCATTTTTCTCATTCTTTGAGCTTCTAAACGCTAGTGAATAAGAGAAATTTGCTATGACTTGGAGTTAGAATAGAAAGAGTGCAGTTGTGTAATTCCAAAGAATGCCTGTGCTTGCTTTGCTTGAGATGAGGAAGACTTTAGAATTGTGCCCTATGCCCACAAAATTCTTCTAAACTGGTTAGTGTAGTTTAATAAGAATTTTCTTCATTTCATATCAGAAACAGAATTAAGAGCTTGATTTCTTGCAAATTTGTTTTTTTTTTTACCCAAATAGTAATTTAATATCCTTTGTTTGTTTATTCTTAACAGATAGCAGAGTCATATTTCCAGGAAGAAGACTGTATCCTTTTAACTGTAGGAAGAAATTCATACAACTCTTAGAGAGTAATCCATTGTTTAAAATTGAGATTTATATAATAAAATGTACAGATTGTATTTTTTACAAATGTATGACTCACTGCTTTCATTGAGGTTTAATAGTTGTATGTACCATTATAACAATATCAGAAAACAAGGTACATGAAATATCTGTTATTCCAGAAGTTTTTCTAGAACCATCCAAACTTGACCTTCCATAAATATACCCTATTTTTACCAAAATTAAATATTTGTGTTCAGAGTGGAGGGCAGCAATTGTTGCTGAAAGACAAAATACACAAATCTACAAGATTATCTTTCTCTTAAATTAAGCAGATCCACAAATCCAGAGCACGTCACATATACTACACAGTAAATTCTATGACTATCTTATAGGTACATATAAGGATTGCTTAGGAATAAGGATATATTGTAAGGAATACATACATTGGTGGGTGAATTTTCATTGTACAAATCTCATGCTAAGACAGCTGCTGCAGTGGAGCATAATCCCTGTAATCCCAGCACTCAGGAGGCTGAAGTAGGAAGATGGTTGCAAGTTCAAGACCAGCCTGGGCTACAAAGTAAGCTCAAGTCCAGCCTGAATTGCATAGGGAGACTCTGACTCAAAAAGACCAGAATCTATTAGTGACAAGTACTAAGGTACCACTGTACTCTTTAGACAAAATGTGTTCTAAGCATCTATTTTTCCCCCATTAATGTAATGTACTTTTCTTTCTAATCGTGTAGACCAGCTGTACCAGAATCTTAGAAATGAAGTTCATAGGCCTCAGTATCAAAACTTGGAGAGAAGAGGTCAGACCCATGAATCTGTATTTTCACAAGTTTTTCAGATAATTTTTGTGTTCTATAAAGTCTGAGAGACATTGGTACTTCTATATCATGGGCAGAGGAGAAAAGAATTGTTCCTCCCTTTCCTGGGCCTGTTTTATGATCCTGGAGAATGTCTTTAAGACCATGACTGAGAGGGAGAGCTGACCTCTGAGTGTCTGTGAGAAGAACAGAAACGTAAACTGAGTTTTTCTCTTTTTTTTCTGGGTCAGTATTTAGAACATTGCCCATAGAGAGATAGCTAAACTGTGCGCCTTGAACTCCCAAGGTGCGCATTTGTGTGATACAGATGGGAATACAGAAATTCATAGTAAGATCCACAGCTGAGTGGAGTCACATAATTATGAAAATTATTGTGCAAGCAAGTCAGTTAACTTTTTTCAGAAGATCAGTGTAATTTTTGCTTTGTCCTTGTTTAGACAGGTGATCCTTTGGTCTTGTGAGGATAAAAGCAGTCAGTGGGAAACAAGGAAAAAGGTGGGTTAAAACCAGAGACAGATGCTGGGCGAAACAATCAGAGTTGTTCAGCAGAAAGTCATTTAAGGAGAGATAAAAAAATGACAACACGCAGACTCCAAAATTCCTTGTGGTCCTGTTTCTAATTAAATACTCTTTAGTTGATTTTGCTAGAAATACACTAGCAAACAGGCCATCTGTGAGCATTAAAACCTCTTAATTTCTGTTTACTAATGGTATAGGACTCAAGTAGCTACTGTAGATCATGCTACAGTAAAGTCTACATCAAAACCAAGAAACCTTACTGTACATATATTTAAGTTTAAAAATAGCTAGAGTCACCTCAGTTTTGATCAGGTGAATGTTTTAACATGGGGTTTAATGTCAGTAGTCTGGATTTCTGTTTTCCTCAAATTGTCTGTTCAGATGAGAGAGCGATGAAATTTATTCAGCTTGAACGATTGTATCATGAGCAGTTGCTGGCAAATCTTTCTGCCATTCAACAACAGTGGGGTGAGTAGAATATGGAGCTATCAGCAGTCTTAACAACTTGCTACCTAGAAGTTTCAAATATTTGACCTGGTTTTGTTAGAAAATTGACATTTCCACAGTCAAGTTGATAAGGCAAAGTGTGCGACTGAGTGTGTAGTCAAGGTAGAGCACTTACTTAATCTACCATGCAGGAAGCCTTGGGTTTGATTTCCATTATTACAAGGTTGGGGGTGGAAGAGTTGCAAAGAATGTAGCTTTTTTGTTGTTGTTGTTAGAATGTAGCATTTTTATCACACTCTATTTTGCTGTGAGAAAATTCTTTTCTCTTTGTATTTTGCTCTTCCTATCAGTGCCAAGAAATGAATGCTTGCATCTATTTGCATTTCTCCCGTTCACACTGCGTGCCCTATTGGGTAATTTAGTCTCTGGGATGATATTTACTTACACTGCAAAGTAATCACTTAGCTATTTCTGTGTTAACTTTCGGGTTGTTCGAGAAGACAATGTTGCATATTAATTTTTATCAGTGCCACCAGTGAACTGTTTTTTTCCTTTCTAAATGTGCTTTGTAAAGGTCAGTGACTAACAAATATTTTAAATTTAGAAGCAAAATGGAAAACTGTACAACCACATACAGTTATACCTCTAAGGAATTCAGAAAAAGGATTTAATGGTGAAGATTTTGAACAGCTTGCTAAATTTTGCTCAACACATCAAGAGTAAGTATGTTAGATTTTACTTATATTGAGTTGGAGTAGAATTTTGAGTATTGAAATACAAGATCCATTTCTGTATTTTTTTTTATGTTTCCAGCCAGAGAAATTAAAATGAATATAATAAAAGAATGGGGTTCCTTTCTTAACATTTCTCTTTTTCTTGCACTGAACTCAGCAAAAGTTTAGCTTTGTCTTTTTGAGACAGAGTCTCACTATATAGCTTAGGCTGGTCTTGAGCTCACTTTGTAGCCCAGGCTGGTTTTGAGCTTGAAATGATCCTCCTGCCTCAGCCTCCCAAGTGCTGGGATTACAGGTATGTGCCACCACGCCCAGCTTAAAGTATAACTCCTAATTTCAGTATCCTTTTGTCTAAGGAAGTAGTCATTCTGTTAAGACTTTTATTCTACCTGCTTGTTAATATTTGTGTGTTACAGAGAAAACATACCATTTTAAAGAGTAATCTAATTCTGGGAAATATAGTACCATATTTAACCAGAATACTTCAGATGGAAAGCTACATTTACCAGTTGAAATGTAATTGCTTTACTTGTATCAAATGGATTTCTCAAACTAAATTATAATGATAATAGCACAGTTTCTTTGTTGTTATTTGGGGTTTTTTTTGGATTGTTTATTTGTTTCTTTTTGTACTAGAAATCAAACTCAGGACCTTGCATTTGCCACATTGTTTTGTTGTTGAGACAGGCTCTCACTATGCAGTTCAGGATGACTTTGGACTCACATAGCCCCAGGCTGGCCTCAATCTCACCACATCCTCCTGCCTCAGCCTCCCAAGAACTGGGGATTACAGGTGTGCACCACCATACCTAGCCTCACACTTAGTTTTTTAAAAAATTATTTACTTGATGACTCAGAGTTCTTAAGGTGAGGAGTTGTGATAGTATTTAACCTAGCACAGATTTCTGGGCTTTAGGTAATCATTCCTCAATACAAGAGCTAAAAGACAACTGGGCCTGGTGGCGCACTCTTGTAATCTCAGCATTTCGGAAGCTGAAGCAGGAGGATCTCTGAGTTCCAGGCCAGCCTAGGCTACAAAGTGAGCTCAATGCCAATCTGAACTGCATAGTGAGACAGTCTCAAAAAACCCCCCAAAAATCCCATAAGCCTGAAGATTGACTGTTCTTTGATAGCTTTTCCACTTCCTCTTTCACAAACATAAAAACTAGAGCTTTATTTGTTAACATTTGAAAAAGTTACAAATAATTATTGTTTAAGTCAGACAGAAGATAGAGAACTTTCTTGGAAATTTTATTGTTTTGGAGGTGGTCTTTGAAGAAAGATTCTTGGACTCAAGGTGAATATTCATTCAGCTCTCCTGATCAAAGTTTTCTTGTGTTAGTGAATTTGAACCTTTGAAACAATAGTTTCAGGGATTTTGAATTACAACTTAATTTCTAAACATGCTAAGTGGATTAACTTTCCACTAGATAGCATTTTAAAATAATGAAATCATTTAAAGATTTTTTTTGTAAAAACAACTTTGTAAAATAACGTAAATATCTTTCATCCGTTTCTTCTGGAATTACCTTCTTAATGTGTTACAAGTGTTTCAAGTATTTAATAAATATTTACTGAATGTAAGATGAGCATAGTATCTTCAGAAAATTGTACCAATTATTGTTCATAAAATTTTATAATATTTAAAGATACTTGCTTGTTATATGTTTAAGTGTATAAGATAGATAACCATATTACTGAGTTTTTTTGGATCATTGAACAAAACTGTTTGCACTCTCACTGTTTGAAAGTCCACTCTATATGCTTCAGTTTTGTAACTTGAATAACTATTTCTAAGATGAGAATATGTAATCTATTAACTAGTGATTTCTTACTGTTTATTTTTTAAATTTTGTATTACTTGTACCCTTTTTCTGTTTTTTTTTCTCCTTTAATTAAAAAAAAAAAAGATACTTCTTTGTTAATATACTTAAGTGTAAAAGCCTGATGAATTTTTCCATATACGTATGGGTCCATATGATGGTCACTCTGGCATGATCCAAGATACAGACCATTCTGGCCTCCTGGAAGGCTCTCATTCAGTGTCAAGCCCATTTGACCTGTGGTCACCACTCTCTGAGTTGCCTAACTCTGTAATTTCATATGCAATTTGATTGTTGCATCTAGCTTTTTGTATATATGTGTTGCATACTGTTGTGTGTAATGAAGTTGCCTGTGCTGTACTGTAATACAGACTATCGTATGACTGCAGTAATTTATTTGGCTGCTCTATTTTTAATAGACATTTGGGTTGTTCCTGGGTTTTGGATATTATAAATAATGAAGTGATTGTGCGTATTTTTCCTTAGGCCTTTGTTGAATATATAAATGCTGTTAATTATCCCCTAAAATTTAATATTCAAGAGTTACTTTTTAAATAATTGTTTTGATGAATCATTTCAACAAAATTATCTTCCACCATAATTTGCTTTAGAATATCACATAAAATTTAAAAAAAAAATGTGTGAAATAGTCTTTAAATGGCTTGTTAGCAAAAGGTTAACATTTGGTTTTTTTACTATAAGATTTCAGTGTTTGTAGCTTCTTTGGGAGTTTTCAATAGTAATTGGCTTTTAAGAAGATTAACACATGATATAGCTGCACTTTGAACTAGGTAAGCCAGTGGTAATGTTTCAGCTGTGGAAATGTTCTGTGCTAATATTAGAGTCCAGAGAAGCTGAGTATTTTTCATAGTCATTTCAGTGACATTTGTATGGAAGCATACTATACTTTTTACAGTTTTTTTCTTTCTTTTTTTCTACAGTCCTCTTTTATCAAAACATAAGGTAAGAGTTTCTTTTGAAAATACTTAATGGGGAAAATATTAGTGTCATATGCCTGTTGTATGGAATGTTTTAGAAAATAAAGAAACCTTTCTCGTGTTATCTTCAACTTTCTGATTTAATTCAACAATTTAAAAATAATTTTTGTTTTAAAATTTTTTAGATAGAAGCTATAGAAAAATCTCTGGGAGGAAAATGCTTTACCCAGTTAATAGTGTCTGAGGAATCAAAGGCAAAAGGAGCTACGGCCAAAGAGTCAGGTATGCTTTTAAATAAGTTAGAAATGTAAAAATGCTGTGTCCTTGTGATATTTTGTGTTACATCTGAATTGCTATGGAGGAATCTTTTTGCATTTACATTTTTTTATGTATCCTCCTAGAAAAATAGCAAAGCAAGATTTTTTTATGTTGTATAATTCTATTTTTTAGATATCTAGTGGTAGAAACTATAAAATCTAAATTCTTATAAGAACGTAAGATCATTTCCATGTTTTCAGTAGATAGCTATACATACCTAACAAAATATATTTTTTAAAAATGCTGTACAAAAATGTCCTGAAATGGAATTGGTTTTGGTGTACTTAAACATCCTTTTCTGTTTGAAGAAACAGTTGTTGAATGGACCTTAATAGTAATCTGTTCTGCAAATCTAGATTATTAAAAGTTCTGTCTTGATAATTTAGCTATTACAACTTACCCTTCCATCCTTTCTGGTTTACTAATATCTGATGTACTTTAATTTGTGTATATATATTTCTAAAGCACTTAATAATATTTGTTTGTTTTGTTTTTTGATACTGAGAATTGAACTCACAACCTCAAGCTTGCCATGCCAAGCAGGCACTGTGCCACTGAGCTATATCCCTGGCCGTATAACGGATTTTATACCACCTTGGGTCTTATGACAAAAGATGTTTAGAAACTGTTTTCTAACTAAATTTGTTATTGTAAAAACCAGAAAATAAAGATAAATATATTTCAGGGTGATTTTCTTTCCTGCTGCTTGATTTTATTACTAGTTTATATTGCTAAGCTTTATGTTATTGAGCCCGAGTGCCCTGATATTGAAGATGAACTATCAGGTGGTGCAGGTGATTGGCCCAGAAGGTGATGATACTGTTATCAAGTAGCCCTATAAAATAACTGGTTTTTTTCAAATCTTTGTCTCCTTTTTCTCTTACAAGGCAAGTTAGGGATATTGCAACAGTGTATGGATGTGGTGGAGCAGAATTGCTCACTTGATGGAGACTGCGAATCAGAGCAAGGGAACAACACCCACATTGCACCCCCAGGGATCTCACTCTCCCAACAGTACCCGCAGCTGGGAACATCAGTGGAGTCCAGTGGCCCCGTGTCCTAGTCACTTTTCTAAGGGTCAGGTTGACAGTGAAGGTTAAGTTGCACCCTTTTGGTCCTGAAACTTGTGGAAGAGAGGCACGGCCCCTTTTCCATCTGACTACAGCCCGCCTTATCCTGGATCTCTCGGTCTAAACAGAGGGGCAGCCCAGCAAGCTCAGTGACAAAGCCAAGGACCTATGGGAAATGAAATGTCTGTGCTTTTTGTTGAAGTCTCCTAAACTTGGAGTGAGTGTTTTGAGCAGAGAGAAAAAAGGGATGTCAGATCCTTCCAGAAGGCAGCCTCTTCTCCTTTCTCAATGAGAAGAGGTGCCATAAACTCTATTAACAGCATTCCAGACTTTGGGGTGTCAGGCATGGGCCCTGATTCTCTGAAATGTGAAGATTGTTTTTAAGAAATGCCTTTTCTTTGCTGTAATATGAGTCTCAATTGTCAATAAGCAATGTCTGTGATTTTTGCGTGTGTTTTTCCTTTTTACCGGTACCAGGGATCGAACTCACGACTGCCTGCTTGCAAGGCAGGTGCTTATGCCGCTGAGCTAAATCCCCAGCCCCAAGTCTTTTTCTCTTTTATCAGTACCAGGAATCGAACTCACGACCACACACTTGCAAGACAGGCATCTATGCCGCTGAGCTAAATCCCCAGCCCCTGTCAATAAGCAATGTCAATGATTAAAAATGGATTAAAATTATTAGCCTGTCATTCTTTACCATTGGGCTGTTATTTTTTAGATTAAGCAATGTGCCCAGTAAGAAGTTAAGACTAATTAGCTAAGATGCTAAACTCAGCTGAGGATGAGCAAGCTTAACTCTTTTATCTACCAATCAGTGCAATTTCCATTCAATTCATTATTTACATGACGTGGTTTTTTTGTTTTTGACAGAGTCTCTATGTAGTTTAGTCTGGCCTCATTATAGGCAAATTATAGGCAAATTATAGGCAAAAGGCCTATTATAGGCAAAGCTGGCCTCAAACTCACAGCAATCCTCCTACCTCAGTCTCTTGACAGCTGGTGTTACAAGCGTGTGCCACCATGCCTTGCTTATGTGAAGATTTTTTAACTGCAGTTTTAAAGTGAAAGATAATATTTTAAGTTAATTTTATTTTGAGTAAACTGAAACCAATATCAAAATTCAAACCTATTTCTGTAGTTTGCTAAAACTTACTCTTTTTGTTGTTATTCTTTATTGTCTTGCTTTAAGAAGTTTTCAGTAATTTGAAGACATTTATTAAGGATACTATGTTTACATTTGTTTTACAGGTTTGTTTTTGTTTTGTTTTGTTTGAGACGGGGTCTTCCTGTATAGTCCAGGCTTGCTTTGAATTCTCTATGGAGGCCACGCTGGCCTCCAATTCATTACAATCCTCCTGACTCAGCCCCTTAATTTTTATTAGTACACATTGCAGTACATGTGGTTACGTTCTTTGCAGGGAGTTGGTACATGTAATATATGGAATACTTCATAACTTTGCATGTCATCCTTGTGAAAGAGGAGCCATGCTAATTCTTCTCTGTATTATTCTAGGTTAGTATATGTGCTGCCAAAGTAAACACATATCTTCAAATTTGAACACAGCAGACTATTGTCCTTTTAGTGTTAGAAGACCAGATCAGTTTTCTCTTTCTGTGTGTGTGTGTGTGTGTGTGTGTGTGTGTGTGTGTGTTTCACTAGAGATTAAACTCAGGACCCTCCACATGCTGGGCAGACACACTACCACTCAGCTTCATTCCCAGCCTCTCAGACCAATATTTTCTTACATTTTGAATATAAATATATTGCTCAGGTTCTTGTAGAGATATTTACTTTCCATACCATGATTTTTTGTTGCTGCTGTTGTTTTATTTTGTTTCTTCTTCTGTACTGGGTTTTGAACCCAGGACCTTTACACTGAGCTGTCTTTTTATTTCTGGCCTGCCTGCCTCTTCCTCTGTCTCTATCTCTGTCTGTCTCTGTCTCTATCTCTGTCTGTCTCTGTCTCTGTCTCTCTCTCTCTTTCTCTCACTCTCTCTCTCTCTCTCTCTCTCTCTTTCTTTATCTATTTTATTTTGATACCTGGTCTTGCTAAGTTACCCAGGCTGGCCTCAAACTTGAGATCTGCCTCCTCTGAATGTAATGCTGGGATTACAGACATACCCCAGTGGCTCGGCCTATGCTATGTCTTAAATATATTTAAAATAATTTTTCAAACTTAGTTTAAACTAAAATGCCAATAGATGTATTTATTTAAATGTAGAAAACCAAAGTGTTCGAGATATCTTTCAAACCTTTGAGAAATTACATTCAAATACAGTACTCATCTATGCACGTTTACAAACTTTTCAGTGATCTGTTAATTTTTATATGTAAAAGATTATTTACTAAATATTTTAGGTATTTAGTCAATATCTAAGATTGCTATAATACAACTGGCAGAATTTCTATTTACAGGGTTAGAATATCATGTTACACGTTATTACAGTATCTTATATTTCTTCCTTTCCTTTCTCTACAAAGCATTGTTTGGAATGTTAAAACAACTTGTTTTTTTTCATCTTTAGAGAGCAGAACTTGTGTTGGCATGGAATCAAGTATAGAAAGCCAACATCAAGAAGAGTCCCAGGAGAGCAGTGCCGGCCACAGTCAGATGGACAGCCAGGCAGATTCCCTGTGCCTCTCAGTAACTGCAGGGAAGGACCACACGGAGGAGCCACTCTGCAGCGCCACCGTGCTGGAGCTCCACGCCCAGTCCTCAGAGACAGTGGGGAGCAGGTCGCTACCAGACTCGGCTGAGAATGCTTGTGAGGACAGCAGCTACGTGCAGGAGGCTCCCACAGAGGACTGCCCAGATGTGGCCACACTAGATACCATTGCTGACGCCCCGACGGTGTTACCCTCTAGTGAGTCAATGATAGAGCCATTGATCTTACCTGGCTGTGACCGTACACCTCCTGTGTTAATTTCCAAGGGTAAGTTTTCACAGACTCAAAGAAAAGAACTTCATTTGCCTCTTCAGGATGCTTCTAAGGCATTGCTCATAGACCAGCCTCAGAAAAATAAATTAAATGAGCTGCAGCAACCTGATCTCACAGACAGTGATGGAAAATCACCACAGAATCAGACTGACTCAGAGACTGGCTCTGAAAATGTATTTTGTGAAAATAATAAAATATCTGGTTTAAGTACACTGCATCCAGAAGTGTATATGGCCCCAGAGGAAAAGGGGGACAAGGAAGACGGAGTCAGTAAGGAAACAGAAGACTATTTGAATAGCCTTTTGGAAGGATGCTTAAAAGATACTGAAGATTCTCTTTCCTATGAGGATAACCAAGACGATGATTCTGATCTCCTTCAAGATCTTTCTCCTGAAGAAGCATCCTATAGTCTGCAGGAGAGTCTGCCTTCTGATGATAGCTCTCTTTCTCTTGATGATCTCGCCAAAAGGATAGAAGTTGCAGAGGTAAATTATAGAAGTAGAATTTTAAAGTAGAATGAAATTTTAAAGGTTAATATATTTACAAAATGCTGCCTTTTTCCTGAATTTTCCCTGGGTTCAAACATGAGGTAAAAATTCAAGTTAATAGAAACTTTTAATCATTACTAGTTTTATTTTGTGTATGAATAAAATGATTTTTAATCATTATATTTATATTTCAAGATATATTGCATACCTCTAGATATAGTATACATTATTATGGAACCTGTTTTTAATAATCCTGTGATTTCTGATATTCCCAGGAAATATAAAGTCAAGATCAGTCACATTCTAATAAGAAAATCTCATTTTTCTCCTCATACATCTCTGAGATAAAATATAGATTATATTTACTGTATCTTCCTTTTGTTAGTATATTGTAAAAATTCTCTAAAAAGTCTAATTGAGTACAGGAACTATTTTAAAATATAATTAGAAGAGGAGGTATTAGATGGAGCTTTAAACTATTAAGTTATAGAAAAGGAATTTTTTGTTTGCTTTTTTGTTTTTGTCTTTTTCCTTTTTATCTGTACCGGAGATCGAACTCACGACTGCTGCCTGCTTGCAAGGCAGACACTTATGTCGCTGAGCTAAATCCCCATGCCCAGAAAAGGAAATTTTTGACAAAAATCAAGGAAAGAGTACTAATAGAATAAAAAGTCACCAGGCCATACCCAAACTGTTTCCGCTCACTGAGGTGTCCTGGTGTGGTGAAAGGGCAGAATCAGATTGCCTTAGTTCCAATATTGATCCCACCAGCTAGTTTCCTGGAGTTACATTTTACTTTTTTGACCCCGTTTCCTTCAGACAGGATACTAGCTTTCTTTTTCCTTTGTTCTTGTTTTTTCTTAAAGTCCCATTTATAACCATTGAATTGTAACTCAGCATTATCATTGCAGAAAACTAGTAACTTTAGGAGAAAATGCAAAAGTAGATAACAAAATATGAGAAATAAACTCTATGAAAAGCTTTCTAGGATCACTTTACCTCTCATGTTACTAGCTTCCTTTGTTGCATTTTTAGTGAGGTCTCAATAAACTGAGTTTTCTTTATTTATATGTTTAAACCACAATTAGATAAGCTAGTGAAGCACTTTGGTACCAGGAATCTAACTCAGGACCTTGCGCTTGCTAGGCAGCCACTGTGCCACTGAGCTGTATGTCCAGCTTCTAGTGAAGCACTTTGGCCCAGTGTTCTGTTTTGTTTGTTTTTTTAACTAGACTGTTTGACTTTCATTTACAACTGAGTCTTTACAAACTATGATTTTGCTTCTTGACAAAATTTTTGATGTTGCTTAATGAGTATTGAGTTGCTGTTTAGGAAAATTACAAAGTTTGAAAATAGATAGTGGTGATGGTTGTATAATATTTTGAATATAGCAGAAAGGCTGCTGCACCCCACCACCTCCCAGTGCTGGGGGTTGAACCAGGTTTTCACACATGTGCCAAGCACGCACTCTACCACGAGCTATATCTTCAGCTGTACAACGATGAGCTATATGTATATATCAGTTTTTAAGTTTTAAACATTTAAATAGAGCTAATAGAAAAGAGTGAGAGCCAATATTTATCTTCTTGCTTGTTTTAACAAGGTCTCTGGTTCAGGAAGTTATCAAACTATTAATGTTATAGTCTACAACTAAATGGAATATTCTTTCCTCAAACTCATATAATGAGCTTTTTTTCTGAATAGTAGCAGCTATGAAAGTATATGTATTTGAAGCTTAAAGGTACCTTTGCTGTGAAATTAATGCATAATGGTTCCCCTTCTGAAAAGTGTCTGGGATGTTTTTTCTTCGCCAGGTCTCCCCAGTTTTTGATCTCTGCTCTCACTTTTTTGCCACTGTTCTTCATTGCCCAGCTTCGGCTCTGAGGGACTTGATCTTAAGAACCTTGCCAGCCCAGTGGATGTACCTGTTTTGTTGTGTTAGTTCAAACAATTAGCCATCACATAAAGTGAAATAATTTTTCACAGAAACCTCATAAAGAACTAAATGTCTGTTTTATTCATTGGTGTAGAGACTTGTAGAAGTAAGACTTGTCTAGGGGTAGTATGCTTTTTCAGATCCACAAAGAATTTTACTAAGATAAGTTTAGTATGAAGCTTTGCACTTCTTATTACATAAAAGTGTGACATATTATTACCAAAAAATACAGTTTCTACTGTAGTAAAAAAGCATCAAAATATTCCTTTTCATTTTATAGATTTTTAAGGAAAAATGTTACTTATGCATTGTGGGCAACTTAGAAAGTCACTCATTGCCTGATTCAGTAATTTTTCTGAGTGGCTTCTGTGTGTCATTGTCACCAGACAGGGTTTAAGAAAGTCCCTCACAGAGGAGATGAAAACCTTATGCTGTCCTGAGGAATAGTTTTGTTGACTCTCATCATGGAAGAAGAATTTCAGGCCATGTCAGTGTGAGGCATAGGCAGACTTATTTGGCAGAATTAGAAAGTCAGGGAGACTAGAGAAGGGGCTGTAGCTTGAGCAGCTGATGAAACAGGACTTTAGATCTCTGTTACACCATGACATTACACATGCAGTGAGTGAAAACATAGCCGAGGTCATCATGCAGATGAAGCCTGCGATCTAGCAGCCACCTGACTTCAGATATTTGTCTGTTTGCTGAATTTGAGTGTTTCAGGTCTTGGCAAAAAGTGAAATTTTATTGCACTACTCCTGGTGTACTACTGTGATTATTTCAGTGTCAAGATCTTAATCCACTTTGCTAGGGAACCTCGTAGTTCAAGGATTTGGAACACAGAGAGCTCTTATCACGAGTTATCCTTTCAACTAACCATTGATTTGGTTAGTTCTAGAAGCTAGAAAGTTGCAGTACTTTTACTTTAAATTAGCCTAAGACTGTAGCCTAAGACTTACAGAAGACTTCTACCATCAAAATTTGATGAAAGAAATGTGCTGCAAAATTCAAAGTGGCATAGACCCAACCTCATGCTACTAATTAAAAAACCCACTCAAGGTGGTAGGCTTTTTAAAATTTTCAAGTAGATTGTTACATGTGTGGGAGGCAAAGAGGTTTTGTTGTTGTCGTTGTTATTGTTGTTGTATTTTTGAGATAGAGTTTTACTATGTAGTGCTTGAAGCAATCCTGCCTCAGCCTCCTGGGTTCTGGGATTACAGGCATGTGCCTCCATGCCTGGCATGTGTGTGTTCCAAATAAGTGAATAAGTGAAGTGCGAATTATTGGGTAAATTTTATAATAATTTTTTTAAAGGCAGTCAGATCTCTCTGTGTTATTTCTAAAGCTGATGAAGCCACATCACTAATACTTAGAGTGTTTTAATCCCTTACTCTGTCTAGATTAACAGTATTTACTTAGATGTCTTCAGTTCTGCTTACATCACATCACATAGAATATGGAGAGGGTATAACCTTACACCCTCCAGTGGGAAGAAAAGCAACAGCCCAAACTTGCAGTTGGGTGTGTCTTTGGAGAAGCTGCCTAATGGAAGTGACTTCTGTGCCATCTTCATCCTTGACACCTGTTATTTAAGGTAGTTAGGTCTTGACTGAATCTCTGGGAGCTGAGAAGTTACTTTAAGATTAGCTGCTATGGGTTCCCGCTCCAAGTTAGGATTGAAGCATGAACTAAGCAGTGGTGTTTTATGAAAGCCTGTTCGCAGCTGTCTCTGAATCTTGGACAAGTGAAAGTCTCTGAGCAGTAATCATGGTGGTTCTCCCCACAGTGCTGTCTGAAGCAGACCAGGGGAGCTCTAGCTCCGTACAGTAGACAGGAGGGTTTGTGTTCGATCCAGGAAGGTGTCTAATGGGCCCTAAAGGAAAACCCAGGGGCTGCCTACTTGTAGTTTGTGCCAGATGGTGTTATCTTTGCCTTTTCTTTTTGTCATACCCTTTGTTTGCTAGTTAATGCATTGCTTAATTGTCATGTATCTCACACCCATTTTTTTTCTTTTAATTACTTTTGAAAATACTCATCTTTACTGCCTCATCTTGGACTTCTCCAAGAGCTGCTTAATAAGTTTCCCTGTCCTTTGTTTCATCTCCTCCCTGTCAAATGTTCTTACACTATCACTGCATAAAACAGGGTTCTCCGTTTGATACCCAAAGAGCCAGCACCAAAAGTAGTGGAAATAAATGAAATGACTTAGATGTAGAGGTATAAGGAAGTTTTCATGCCTTTGCCTGGTATTCACCTTTTAAAAATATTCTAAGCCAAGTATATGCAAGTTCTCCATCTAACACACAGCCTATTGGTACACTCCTTCCCTAAAGTACTTTCTACATTGTCAGTCCCTTCCCAGGACTCCCTGTAGTAACCTCAACGTAATTGCTGTACAACACTATTTGACTGCATACTTGGGACTCATAATCTCACCCACTTCCTTTCCAGTATCATGTCCTCTTGTCCTTTGTTCTCAGCCTATACCTTGCAGTCAAATGGGACCTCTGCTTCCTCTCAGATACACCTTGCATATTGTCACTCTGGCTGTTTGTCTTCTGTGCTATGTTAGTTCTGCTCTAGAGTGGTTAACCTTCCCACATCTGTTTCTTCCTAATCCTTAATATACACAGGTCACCTTAATATACATAGGACCTAATATACATAGGTCATACATAGGTCATACATAGGGTGGGGTGGCACACATGTCTGTAATCTAGGTACTCAGGAGGCTGAGGCAAGAGGATTACTGTGAGTTCAAGGCCAGCCTGAACTACAGTGAAACCATAACTCAAAAAAAAAAAAAAAATAGAGTTCAGTCATGTCTTTTTAGCATGTAAAGTGCCAAGTGCACTGCCTAGCTCATGGTCACTGAAGTCGTATTTTTTACAAGCTCATTTCTGGGTTACTGAAGTCCATATTTGTTCTTTTGGAACTACTATTCAGAACTTCAGTGAGGAAGAGGCTGTGGTGTATCATCCCTCTAAAGTGTTGTCCAGCTGCAGTCTCCCTTTGTAATCACGGGACCTACTCATGCTGTGTTCACCACCAAATTACACTTGCC